AATCCGTGAAACTCTTGCAACGTTTTTAAAACGAATGCGCGCGGCGCTAAGGCGAGAGCCACATTTTGAAAACCAGTTGTCATCAACCCGTGAAACTCTTGCAATGTTCTAAAAAGGAATGCGCGCGGCGCTAAGGCGAGAGCCACATTTTGAAAACCACCCGCCCTCCATATGTGAAACTGTTGCCAATGCTTAAGCTTCAGGGTCATAAGTGGTGAGGAAGTCTCAGGCGAATCGCCCAGCCCGCCCTAGAAACTGGCCTCGGAGTGCGATAGGGAGAAGTTACCTTGAAGGAAAAGGATTGGAGGACAGAGATTGGAGGAGGAGGAGGAGGAGGAGGGCGAGGAGCAGGAGGAGGAGCTGTGGTGCTCCCCCATCCTCGTCTTCTTCTCATGGGACCAGCCCAGGCTAGGAGCCAGCAGCTGCCCCACCAGGGGCACGGCGAGCGCCCCGGCGGAGAGGCCTCCTGCTGCGCGGCCGCCTTCGCCGGGCGCGCCGCGGGAGCCTCCCTGGCCGCGCGGAGGGCTGCGCTCTCTGGCGCGGGCGGTGGCGCGGAGCTGGCGGGCGCTCGGAGGAGCAAGAGGCCATGAGAATGATACGTTCCAGGATTTCCAGGTTTTCGATATCCAGGATCCCCCGACGGTCCACAGAGGCTGCGGAAACGAGGGCGCTAGATACTCTGGAACTCTTGAAACGCATCCTGAGCCAATCCTATCATGACATCATTCCTGTCATGGGCGCGGCTGAGGCTGCAGATGCAGCGGCTGAGAGCATGCGCCTCCTCCTGCTGCTTACGCAGGAAGACCTTCGCTAGGTGCCGCCCCTGGGGCTGCTGCTCCAGCCTCCTCGCCCGTCTTGCGTTTCTTCCTGAGCTCCTCGAAGCGTTGGGCCCGCTCCTCATGCAGCGCCATCGCCTGGTCTCGAGCAACCTCGAATATCCTGCCGAACAGGTATTGCGCCTTGGCCGCACACTCGCCGAAGAAAGATTGAAGCTGCTTGCATTCCTCGCACGTGCAGATCCGACGACCAGTCGAGGTCTTCACCGAGGTCGAACGACAGCGATGAGGGATCTGTCAGCAACGCGTCGATCGGGACAACGGACTTCTTGCCACGGGGCTTCTCATGCGGCAGCAGCCTCTGAGCTATGCGGCGAGTTGCTGCCTCAACCTCCTTCTGGGCTGCCTGCTCGTCAAGCAGCGCGCTGCCGACCTTCTTCTTGGCCTCAGCGAGTTGCTTTTCGATGCGCACCTGGTGCCCCAACGCCTGAGCCAGCCAAGCGAATGGATGCTGCACACTTTTTTCCCCTCAGCCGCCGACACCTCAGTCTCTGGCTTGACCTGCACAGGCGGGGGGGGCTTTTTGATTGCGAACTGATCAAGTAGGTCGGCAGCAGCGGCTGAGGGCAACTCAGAGGCTGCATTCTGGCTGCAGGCTGAGCTCCTCCAAGAAGGGGCTTCCCTACATCCCCGCCTTGGGCCGAGAGGAGAGGGTGGGGAATCGCCCTTCGGGAAGAAGAGGGCCGCACCACAGCCGATGCAATGCCCACGACGAGCAAACAACCGAGCATGCGTCCAAAGACCAAAAGCGCACGTGGTGTATGACTCCTTGCGGCGCTTCCTGGAACGAGCTGGAGCCGACGCCTACCACTGCGGCGCCGAGTGCTCCGAGTGCTTGGCCCACTGCAAGAGCATAACCCACGGCGCGCGCACCATGCCTGGATACTCAACAGGCGAGAAGAATGAAGATGTAAGCGGCGCTGGAGTAATGGTGATCCTGGAAGTTGGCCTGGGATCAGAGATACCCAGTGGATCGACTTGGGAGCCAAGCATCTTGATCAAAAATGGCTACGGATGCAGACGAAGAGGAGGAGGAATAGGAGCGAGGAGCAAGGAGCAAGGGGACGGCGGAGGGGAAGGAGGAGGAGGTGGAGGAGGAGGAAGAGGGAGGAGTGTGGACGAGGAATAAGATGGAGGGGGGTGGTGCAGGGCTTGGAGGAGGAGGAGGAGGAGAAACAAATGTTGGAGGAGGGGCAGGATACAGATACAGAATTAGCAAAGGTGCAGACAGGCAGGCAAGCCGATTTGAACCACAAAGACTATACAATAGTGCGGCAAGCGAGAGAAGACGAGAATAAAGCATCCCGCTTCCACCCACTGACGAGATTATGCTATCCCCCACTCCTCGGCTCCATCATTGGAGCTCTTGCCCTCATGGGTGAGGCCTGTGCAGCGTGGCTGCTGTTCCCCCTCGGACGCGTCGTGCGCTGCCTGGGGAATGGGTTTTAAGAGTTGTATCTTCCCTGCCTTTCATGCTCGCAGAGCTCCGATCAAATGGCACAAACAGCGAAAGCGTCGTAAGGCTGGCGTTGCGCAGAGCAGAACTACTGTACGAGTCGAGCTCCACCCTCCAACACTCGTCCGTCCATGATGACGACCAGCTCCCACAGGGGAGCAAACGCATCAGTCGCCGCCACCTGGTTTCGGCCGTTACGCACTGGGTGGAGATGACAGTCTCGCCCTCGAAGCTCTGGCCGTCGTCAAAGGGCCCACTGACCACTGAGACGGTGCCGCACGCGCTGCTGGCGCTATGGTTGTGCGTACTGGCGCTGCTACTCACACCGGCACGTATGAACTCCTGCTCGTCGGGGCCCTCCTTGTTCCACAGCTTAAAGTCCAGGTCGGTATCACTGCAGGCCCGGCTGCGCCAATTCGATGATGCTCCTCCCTCTGGAGTTGCTGCTGGTCCGCAGGCTTGGCGTCCATCCACTTGTGGATGAACTCCTGCCCGTGGGGGAGCACCTTGTCCTGAATCTGGCCGTCCAGGGTGGGAGCGTTGCTGGATGAGCCCGCTTTGTGGAGTTGGTCCTCTTCCCATTGCCGTTGTTGGTGTTGCTCCCCAGGCCTGAGGTCTTGTAAAAACGGTCACTGTCCGTGGCGAGCGCATCGTATCCAATGTCGTCAAATGCACTGTCGTCCAAACCCGAGCCGCTGCTGTCGGCTCCACGCGCTCCCTCGAGTCGTTGCCGAAGTCGCTGAACGACGTCCTCTGCCGCACCTGGGTGTCGCAGAAAGCGGGCTGTTCGATCAAGGGCGCGATCATCTCGTGTAAGGTGAGAGAGGGGCCGACGCCCACACTCTCGTCAAGGTCGGCCCAGCTTTGAGCGAGGGTCCTTCGCGCATGCGTCTCGTACCGGGCAGCCTCTCACAAACGCCTCGCGTGCGCCTCGACCTGAACCAGAGGCAGGCGATCACCCAAACAGCACAATTGCCTCCGGCTCAGCTCCATACTGACGTGTTTGGAGTTCTCGGAGCAGTTCGTGCAAGCGCACCTCAGCACCCCCCGTGCCGCATCCCCTGACCCCAGATCAGCGACACCAACTCGCCCGCAGCGCCCATGACCCGCTGGGCTCGCACTCCGAGCCAAGGCCGAGTTGCACCACCCCCTCTGCGCGCTGCGGCACGACTCCTGCCCCGGCCGAGGCCGCGGTCGTGAGGGTCGCAGACTCCTCCACGTCTGTCGCCCAGGCCACCACAGCGCCACGTCGGGTGCTGCTAGAAGTGGCCCTGGTCGAAAGTGACCCCCCCAGCTTTTCCAGGGAGGCGCAGATGGCTTCCGAAGCACCCCTCACGAGACCCAGAGGGCCCCAGGGGCTCCAGAATAGCGCGCAAAATGCAGGGAGCACCTTGGGCCAGGATCACCTGCCTCTAGCAATTACCGCCCATCGCGTGCCAGGATGCCGCGGTTGCCGCCACGTCCATGCGGCGTGGCCAGCGCGCGGGGAGAACGCCCCTGCCGGCAAGTCAGGGATGGGGGCGCGCGAGGGAGTCGGCAGACATGTCGGCACAAGGCCAGCCCCCCCTCCCCCCCCCCCTGAGGCAAAGCGGCTGCTCGGAGGAGGGGCAGGAGGAAGACGGTATATGGGATGGGGAGGAGGAGGAGGAGGAGGAGGAGGAGGAGGAAAGGAGGAGGAGAAGGAGGAGGAGAGGAGGCGGACCAGTGTGTAACTCCAAGACCCACCAAGGATGGTGCAATAAACCTTCCTCCATGCTCCTTCTTTCAAGGCCCCATACAAGGATCGATCTTCAGTGAGGGAAGTCCCCCTGTGGAAGACAAGTGTTCGAAAATCCGAAACCGTGCCACAACACCGTTCCTGGGATTTGTACACCGCGAATCAACGTTATCATTGCGCCCTGATGATTTTGGATCGTGCCAGAAAACCGTTCCTGGGACTTCAACACCGCGAATCAACGTGACCGCTGCGCGCTGTCGCCAACCATAAGAATCCTTGAAACTGCTGTAGACTCTAAAGAGATATGTGCGAGGCGCTAAGGCGAGAGCCACATGTTGAAAAGGAAACGCCCTCCAGCCAAGAAACTCATGCACCGTTTGAGGCGAATGTGCGCGGCGCTAAGGCGAGAACCACAGACTGAAAACTGCCCGCCCTCCATCCGTCAAGCTCCCACAGCGAGAGCCACATTTGAAATTGACCCGCCCTCCATGTGTGAAGCGCTTGCAAATGTTTGTGACGACCGTGCGCGGAGCTAAGGCGAGAGCCACATTCTGGAAACCGCCTAATGAAGATACTTCACATGTCAAGCTGAAGGATCATAAATGGTCAGGAAGTCTAAGGCGTAAGGCCCGCCCCGCCCTACTAAGACGTCTGAGTGTGCGACAGGGAAATAGAGGAAGAGGAAGAAGAGGAGGAGGATGAATAGAAATAGGAATGGCAATAGGAATTGGAATAGGTATAGCAATATGAGTAGGAGGATGAGAAGGAGAAGGAGGAAGAGGAGGAGCAGAATGAGAAGGGAGGAGAAGAGGAGGAGGAGGAGGAAGAGGAGCAGAAGCAGGAGCAGGAGCAGGAGCAGGGGCAAGGAAGGGGAGGAGGAGGATAAGGAGGAGGATAACGAGGAGGAGGAGGAGGAGGAAGAGGAGGAGGAGGAGGAGTGGGAGGAGGAGAAGGAGGGAGCAAGAGCTGTTGGAGCAGGGCGCCCCGAAAGGTACCAGATGGGCCACCCCGTCCTCACCGCTGATGGCTTGCTGCAGGGAGCCAAGGGCGGCCAGAACCCCCCCCCCCCCTGGCGCGGCCGAGCAGCGTCAGGGGGGTGCGGGGAAGGACATGGAAAAACAAGGGAAAGTGATAAGTGGATTGGCTTGCCTCCAAAGAGCCTCCAAAGAGCTCGGTCCGAAACGAGAACGGGTGGGGCAGACGCAGGTGCGTCCTCTTCCGCCCCGTCTTTCCCCTCCTGCTTCCGCCCTCCGCCCTCTACATCTCCTCCGTAGCCATTGTGGCTCAAGCCGTGCGGCAGGCTCGGACGGTTTGGGCGCGCGTGCCGTACACTGAGCTGCACGGGGCGCGCCATGGGATATCTCGTCTGTCTCGTCTGTCGCGATGCTGGCAAGACTTCGTGGATCCCCGACACCAACCCCCGCCAGAAGTGTAAGTTCTGCAGTACCCCTTTTCCTGGCCGCTCCAGAGGACAGGTCCCAGGAAAGTACGGTCGCAAAGGCGACAAAGACGGCGAAGGCAGGAGCAAAGGCAGTGGCAGTGATCGTGTCTTGTCTCGTCCCCGTGCTCGTTTCCATGATCGTCATGATGTTGACGGTGCTGCCACTCCCCCAGTTCGGTCTTTGGATGAACGTCTTCAGGCTCCATTGGATGAGGAAGTGCAGGATATATTCGGATATGACTCTGGCGACGACGGTTTTGGCAGCGATCGTGGTTTTTGGGCCGACTATGTCGACGACGACGTTGATGGCGGCTGCGTCGACACCAATGGCAATGAGCTCTCGGTTACGCAAATTGATCAGATTATCAAGGCCCTTTTGGGCCAACTGGATTCCCTTCGCCTGCTTCCGCCGACCAGGTACGTTCGTGATCAGGTCTCGGGTCTCCAGGATGAGTTGCAGCATCTCCGAGCTCAAAAGTCCGACTTGCTTACGGTTCCCCAGAAGCGTGCGTTCTACATGCAGCGTCATCACTGGGCCAGTAAGAAGTTTGACAAGATCTCTAGCCAGATCCGTGAGTTCGATCGTAAGGTCCTGGGCCTTCAGAGCGAAAGGGACGCCCTCTGCTCTCGTCAGGAGCGGGTCGCCCAGGATATGGCTATGTGGCAGTCTAAGTTGCAGGATCTCCCTTCGAGCGAGCCAGTCCCTGAGGGTTTCACGCCCCCAGATCTCTCAGCCGTGGCGGACGTCTTCGCAGTTTCCCAGGCAGTGCAGAGAGACAAGAAGCTTGCTCAGGCGTTGCGGGACCTCCAGGGTATCGTTATGTCTGGCTATGCTCCTGTTGGTGCCAGTGAACCTCGGTCCCAGTCTGAGGAGCCCAGGATGTCTGTCGACCAGCAAGGTTCCCCAACACGTGTTGCCAGGGCTCCTCCCCGTTCCTCTTCCTCATTGCCGCCTGCGCCGGAACGTCCTGCTCATGCCCCTGATGTTGCAGTTGATCAGTCGGGACAGTCAGGAAGGTTTTCGCCGTCGGCTGCCGCCACCTCTGCCCCCGCCGACACCCCAGCAGTGGTGGAGGGCCCCAATCCCAAGGGCCCGTCTGACCTTTAGCACATCGGAGACCCCGCCCGACAAGTCAGCCTTCGGTCAGAAGCCGCGTCGGGACTGGGTCATCGTTACTGTGAATGTTACCCCCTGGTCCAATGCCGATATTTTCCTGGAGGCTTATTCTGATCGGTTTGATGCTGTTGGTTTTCAAGAACTCTGTCGTACTGAAGAGGCTATTGAGTTCGCAGTCAACCGTGCTCACAAGCATGGGTTCCATGCGCACCTCCACCCCTCAGTTAGTACTCAGAAAGGCGGCTTGAGTTCAGGAGTGGGCCTTGTCTCGCAGTATGCCAGGTCCTTCTCTGAAGTTGTATTGGATCCGATTGTTGCCGTGCCCCCTCCAGAGAGATTCATCCCGAAGCTATGGCATGGGGTCGTGGATTCAGGTATCCCGCGGGCCAATGTCTATTTGCATACGGGGGAAGGCGCCGAAGATCGCAATGCTCAGCTACCGTTGCAGGTGGCAGCAGTCATGAAGACTATATCCACCCCCTTTGTTATATCAGGAGACTGGAACATGTCCCCCAAGGACTTGCAGAATACGGACTTCTAAACGCTCATGGGCGGGGTCATTGTCGCGCCAGATCGCCATACCTATGAGTCCGCGGGTGCCCAGTCGTCGATTGACTACTTTGTGGTTCACCCCTTGCTCTCGGCAGCAGTTAAGTGTGAGGTCTGGGAGACCCCCCTGATCCCCAAGCATCAGCCTGTCGCTCTCACCCTTCGTGGAAATCTTCACTCTGATTTGGCATCGGTTTTTCGGCGTCCACCTCACATCCCTGTTATTCGGCCAGTGGGGTGTTCAAATTGTCCGCCTTCCTGGGATGCCTTTCCTGATCCTGACGCAGTCAGCACTGTGGAAGATTTGGAGCGTCTTACCTCTTCTTGGCTGAAGACGTCTGCCCAGGAGTTGCTTGCCCTTTTCCAGTTGCCAGGTCCGCAGGATTACACCAAGTGGGGTAAGCCCCCCTCGGCTATCCAGATTTCGGTTTCCCAGACTGTTTCCTGGAGGTGTGCTTTCGTCATATGAAGGAAGGCTCTGGAGGTATCTCTTTAACCGTCTGGGCACTCTTCTTTATCTGGCTGGCAAGCAGTTGTGGCCCGCTTATCGGAGAGCCTGTCAAGCCCTGCGCCGATATCGCCCTTCGCAGCGTGATGGTGGTCCCCCCCCCCCCCCGATTGGTCATGGTGGAGGTATTATGCCAATAAGCTTGGTACCCTAGATCTGGGTTCCATAGATTGGCTGCGGGGCGTTTTGGCTGAGTCCGCATCTGCTCTGGAACGTGCAGCATCGGCACAGAGATACCAATCCTGGACATCATGGGCCACCCGATCTGTCCAGGAAGGGGGTTCTGCTGCGCACCGCTTCGTCAAGGGATCTATGGATTGGGCTTCTTTTGACAAGACCACCCCGAACCCAGATGCCCCAGTCGGCACGCCGCAGCATCATCTCAAGGCGCGAGAAGGAGTTTGGCATGCTACCTGGGAGCCCATGCAGGAGCACCCTGATGATCCTTGTCTAGCCCTGGATTTCCCGCCGTTTCCGCCCGACTGCCTTGCACCCTTGCCCCGCCCGTCCTTGGACAAGTACAGGCAGATGTGTCGCAGGTACAAAGCTCGTACGTCAGCGGGATTGGATTCTATGCATCCACGTCACCATGCGCTGCTTTCCGACTCGTCGCTTCTTGTCTTGTTTGGTAGTTGGCGTGCTGCCTTGCGATTGGGTATATTTCCCCACATTCTCGCTGTGTTCATCATGAATTTGATCCCGAAGGCTGATGGTGGCGAGCGTACGGTTGCCTTGTTCACGACGTGTGCGCGCACGTTCTCTCGGTTCTTCAGGCACACGTACGGTGCTATGTGGGCGCGATTGCATCCTCGTCCGTACGTGCATGGTGTGCGCGGTCATTCCTGCCAAGCATGTGTGTGGCGAGTGGGCGTGCTCACGGAGTTAGCATCTGCCGAAGGTTTGTCTGTGTTTGCATTCTTGCTCGACATCCAGAAGGCTTTTGAACAGGTCCGCCATAAGCTTCTCATAAGACGTGCTAGTGATTTGGGTTTCATCCAGCACTCTTAAGGGTTCCCCTGTCTCTGTATCGTTCCCCACGTGTTGTCACGTTGCGGCGAATTGTTGGGGAGTGGGTCAGAGCTAGCAAGACTATTGTGGCAGGTTGCTCCTTTGCCGATCTGTTTATGCGTATTTTATTGATGCCCGAGCTGGATTCGTTTCGTCAGTCGTATCCAAATATGCACCTCGGCCTCGTCGCCGACGACGTCCAGGTCCTGGGGATAGGCTCGGAGAGGGAGTTGCTCAAAATCGGCCCCGATGCGTCGCACCTTTTGATGGGCAAGCTGACTTTCTCGGCATGTTTACCGCTCTTCGAGAAGAAAATCGTGCTCTTGGCTACCGACCCCCAGTTGGCCCAGAGCAGTGCAGCTGAAACTCCACGTCTCGCTGGTGTCGTCAAGTTCTCGTGTCGCAACCTCGGGATTGATTATCCGTTACGTCAGGGGCGTCGTTCTCGTACCGTTCTCACTGGTCGATTGAAAAAAAGGCCAGGTTTAAGGCCCGGCGCCTATGGAAGATAAAGAAGGCTGGTGCAAAGGTTGCAGGTATTGTAAACACTAACTTGCGGCCCACTGTCATGTACGGCATTGATGTCGTCGGTCTATCTACTCATCAGATTCGTCAGGTCCGTGCTATATACCACGCTGGTCTCGGCACAGGTAAGCGTAGGTCTGTCACGATGGATTTGGCGTTGCATGGTGTTACCGACCCTGCTATTGACGCACATGCTGAGGTTATTCGTCCCTGGACTGTCTCTCGATGGGACTCTCTTCTTCCCGTCGGGATGATAGACCAAGTTTTCCAGTTAGCATGCGCCAAGGTGACGCCAGACACCCCGTGGACTGATTTGCAGGGCCCAGGACAGATTTTGGTTGCCACTATGCGTGGAATTGGGTGGTCTGCGGTTTCGCCCACAATATGGCGGAGTTCTCTTGGAACCGATGTGGATATTTCGTCGACTTCCCCTCGTGGGGTGGTTGCACTAGTGACTCGCGACGCGTCTGTTTGGGCTCGGAAACAGGCCCCTGAGCGTCACCCATCCTTCAGTCACCTGTCTGGACCCCCGTTCCTGCCCCCTCTTCTTTCCCCGTTGTCTAAAAAGACTGGAGGATGGGGTGTCCTCCAGCAACGTGCTTTGAGGACTTTTATATCTGGGGGCATATACTTTAAACCTCTGTGCCCCATTTGCCAGGTTGTCCCCTCTGACCCCGTGTTTCACACCCTGTATGAGCGTGATGGGCTTGTAGAGTTTCGTCGTTGGTTCGGCCCGACTCCAGCCCTCACCCGTTGCATAGAGCAGTACCGCGAGAACCTTGCCTGGACCATCGCCATGGTTCCCGACCCGCGTTATTGCTCCCTGCTTGCACCACCTTTCCCAGACCCTGTCTGGGAAGGGGGCCACAGACGGCGCCTTTTTCTCGTCG